TTACTTCTTGCTTCAGGGTGCGCAGCTGAGCGTAGATCCATAGCTTAGGCAAAACAGGCACTTCAATGCACTTCAGCAACATACAAGTTCTTTTAAAATTCAATCAATTTTTTAGTGTAGAAGGAAAAAGAACTTCAAACCGCAGAAAATGACTACTTTAAACGGTTCACGATGAACATTTAGGAAGAGATACAAACTATTAACACGTACCATTACTACTTACTCCGATGGAAACTCCGAATGTCACAAATGCTGTGGAATCCAAAACAGGAAAAAGCAATAAAATCAATATCGGAAGTTATAACAAATAAAAAATTTTTCAAATTCCTCAAATTCAAAAAGAAAATTGCAAATGAAAGATCTGAAAAAAGCAATCGCACAATGATGATTGTGAAAAAACTGCGTAACTTAAGATGAAATCAAGTCCATGCAATCCTCGACAATTGTAAAACAGGTAAATCAAAAATGAGAAGTTGATGTTCACGTTTCAAATCCATTAGAAGTTCTGAATATCAGCGATGAATAAAAGCAAGACAGCGTTCATCGCGAGACTATGTTTGGTAAACCATACTCCAATGCCAACTAATAGCGTTTTCAACCACAACCGTCACAATGTAAGCCATGGTATCCACAATGAAAAGAAAAAAAAAAAGTAAGTAAAAAGCGGAAGAAACACGAAGCAACTATACAGTATTAACAAAGATACCGAAACCGTAAAATCCAGAACCACAATACAAATAATTATTTTGACGGAGCTGCTCCTGTAGGTGCTTGGCTCTGCATAGTCGGTGGCGGTTGACTGGTATATATTGCAGGTGCGTTTGAAGGTAATTCAGGATGAATCAGCATATCGTTAGATGGCATGTAGGCTGTAGGTGGTGTTGCTGACTGCATCAAGGTCATTGCAGCCAGATTTGGTTCTCCACCCTAAGAATGTTCGTCTCACTATTGAAACAAGCAAAAAATAATTTTGAATGTAAACATTAACCATCCTAACAATTTATACTTGATTAGAAAAGTACAGAATTGAATTGACTCATTTTTACTACGAATATTGTTCTTATATTCTAAAAATACACATACCTGCACTCCATAGTGAAAGGGATAACTATAAATAGGATAAGTATATGAAGGATGCATTGTCATAGGCTGCACAGCAGAACCACCAGATGATTGGCCAGCCGATACAGCTCCATTACTTACACTTCCATTCATGTCCGTCGGCTGCTGTGAAACCGCAGCATTTGTACCATGTATAGAAAGGTTATGCAACTGAGATGCAATTCCCCCCATCTGCGGATCCGGATATCCTATAATGCCTGTTTTAATAACCTTTCCAAATAACAATTTCTCAACTTTGTTTCATACAAAACGCAATGTTAACCTGATATAACATGTTGATAATGAGGATTCATAACATATTGTGACGCTGCCGGAATCATGTAAGGCACTGGCGCACTACGTATATAGCTTGAATTCAGTGGCTCATACTGATTAGTGAAATACGGCTGAAATCTTTGTCACATGCAGCCTAATAAAACGATATTACAACATTTTCTCTAGGACACCAAAACAGCTTCTCTAGTCAAGAAATAATCCAAAGAAGGATTTATAATAAAGGGGAAAGATTTTACCGAAATATCCATCTGTGGGACATTCGAATACACTGTTTGTACCGGAGCAGGTCTAGGCCTCAACTTCTTACCACTGTCCGCAAACTTAACAAGCAGCGGTTGCGTCGTACCATTCAGTATAGTTTTGCCGTTCATTTCCTGAATAATTTGTCCTATTTGGTAAAACTAGGTAAAAAATCATTCCTTCAAAGTATACTGAATGAAAACTATATGAAACCTAAATTTCTTATGAATATAACTCAAAACAAATCTCAAGTGCAAACTTTTCCCCACAAAATAGCAAAAATGTATAGTAAATTATTACTTTTATGATCCTGTCACACAATTCTTTGCTATCCATCCTTGCAAACCCAACCCCTCGACTAACACCATCTTGATCTTTTAAAATTCGAGTGCTGATAACCTCTCCATAACCATTTAATGCCTTTTCGAGATCGTTTTCGGTGAACTTCGGCGGCAAGTTTGCAAAATAAAGATTTGTTGGGTCCTGTTCTTGCTGCTACAAATACGTTAAAATAAAAAAGATAACTTAATAAAATACGCTTCTACAAAAGAAAAATATCCAAGAAAAATTACAGGTATACAAAACTTAACCAGAAAAGTGTTAAAAACCTCGCTTTACAGAAGCCACACCACCTTTAATCCAAACCAAAGAAAAAATTTTAAAGACCACGAAACGCACCACGGCACTGACCTTGGCCATCTGAGCCTGAATTTTCCCTTCCTGATTTAACCCTTCAACAGCTGAAAGAGCTGCATCTGCGCGTTCAAAATCCACAAAACCGTAACCTTTACACTGGCCAGTTGTTTTGTCCTATAACAGTCTCTATCAATTTTCCTAAAAAGACGGTAAAACTACTGAATACTTCCGACCAAAGCACTTACCATGATTGCTTTTGTTGACAAGATGGCTCCATATTTTTCGCACTTTTTCCTTAGGTCGTCGTCAGTCGTACTGGAATCAAGTCCTCGTATGTAAACATTTGTCTAAAATGATAAAACTCAGAAGAGCTAGAAACGTCAAAAATAAACAGATACTTAACTAGATAGCCAAAATTTTTTCTACCGAGCTGAGTGGAGCATCGGCCTGTGGTGAGTCGGTGTTATTACGTGTGACACTGTTCGACGCACCACGCGAGCGAATAATTGAGTTAGGAATGGCTATATTACTGGCAAAACCGTTACAAGAGCTATTGCACTGCTGTTGTTGTTGCTGCTAAAAAAAAAAAAAAAAAAAAAAAAAAA